TGTCAAAGAGGTAAGGCTCGAGTTCGATTTTTAGAAACTGCATTGGAATTAACAATGCTAGCATAGGGCCTCTGCCGCTCTGCGAGTAGTGGGTGCAGGCTCCACTCTTTGACACCAATATGTAATTAAACTCTTATTTACTTCTTCTTAGGAACTATTCAATCGATCTAAGGGATCTTTGGGATGGGCTCATCTTTTTTCCCACAATAATTAAGGTAGATCAGAGCAGTAAGAGGTCGGTCCCACCAATCGGGACAAAAAACGGTCCCACAACGTTATCCACCGTCCGATCTTCCCATACCCATCTCTCCAGATCAACACGTTGGTTACGCCGTTTAAATTTCGAAATGCCAGAAAGGAAAAGCCTGACAGATCGAATTTTAAAAGGCAGAAGATAAAAATACCCAGTGAGTCAACTCGTCCCGCACTCGCCGGGAAGATGAAGACCGGAGCAAAGCTCATAGTTCTCCACCCTTCCCTCCACAAGCAGGGCATCCCCGCCGTCCCCTCCTCCTCTCATCGCATTCTGGCTCTCGTTTTCGCCGCATTCTTCGGTTTCGGCTTTGCCCTCTCTCTGTTTTCCGGCAAACACGCCGTTCCCGGAGCTTTGACCCTCGCGGCGGCGGAGGCAGCGAGGCCGCAGTTGCCACAGCCCGCGATCGACGCGCTTCTGTACTACGCAACCCTGAACACCTCGTCGGTGGGTTCCCGGATGTCGTCACCGGAGGTGAGCGCCGTCGTGGCCTCCCTCCGGCGGTGCGGGTACGCCTGCAATTTCCTCGTTTTCGGGTTGACCCACGAGACCCTGCTGTGGAACTCCCTGAACCACAACGGCCGGACGGTGATCGTCGACGAGAGCGCGTACGCGGTGTCGAAATTAGAGGAGAAAAACCCCGGGATCGAGGCGTACGACGTCCAATTCACGACAAGGGTGAGCGAATTCCGGAACCTGCTGAAGCACGCCGACGAGGAGGCGAAGCGAGACTGCCGGCCGGTGCAGAATCTGCTCTTCTCCGACTGCAAATTGGCCATCAACGATCTCCCCAACCACCTGTACGACGTCGCTTGGGACGTCATACTGGTCGACGGGCCGCGCGGGTACTCGCAGTCGGCGCCGGGGAGAATGTCGGCGATATTCACCGCCGGCGTGCTTGCGAGGAGCAAGAGGGGCGGCGCCGCCCAGACACAGGTGTTCGTGCACGAGATTGACCGAGTGGTGGAGAGAGTGAGCAGCGAGCGGTTCCTGTGCAGGGGCAATCTCGTAAATTCAGTTGGAAAGTTGGGGCATTATGCGGTGGGAAAATTCGAAGCCAAGGAAAACAGATTCTGTTCATAGAGGTCGTCTTCTTCCTCCCTTTTCTTCTTCTTCTTCTTCAAGACCATATCAATGGCGGATGACTGAAGAACTGCGCTGCAGCGGTAAAATTTTTTCCTTCTTTTTTACCTTTAATTACTGCGGACTGTATTATATAGATCTAAATATAGTAGCAAAAATGTGTAACATTCTAGGTTGCCAATGCCCAATGGTGAAATGTTTTTGTTTAATTATGTGTATAAAGTCTCTCCTACATTCCCCCCTGCAGTTTCAAAAATCATATTATACCCCTTTCAATCAAATTTTAACATACTTCTTAAGCTTGGTACCTGAATTAAAAAAAATATTGTCCAAGCTGTCCAAATTGTGCCACATAGCACGAATCCGTCGCACTTTGGGCAAACTCGCCATTCTACCTATGTATATACGGAACGGTTCTAGTGATACTGAAGATCAGTGTCATATGGTGGCACTAGATACTTACCGTGCTTCGTTCGGAAATTTGATGCTTCCTACATTACCTCTTTAACCAGTACCTAGCCCCCACTCCTACCCCGCTTCATCCTTTGCTACTTGGCTATCAAAACTTTGGTAAAGAAGAGATGTTGTAAGGGGTAGAGGTGAAGGGTTTAGGCTATTAGAGGTGCACAACTTAAATACTCTTTTCGTCCATAAATAAAGTTTTCATTGCGTGTTACGATGTTTGACTAAAGCTATTCTCAAACATGCCCAGAATCACAATGAAAAACTAGAGACATCTTTGAATAAGATTGTTGAAAAAGAGATCTGTCAAAGTTTCCGTTGCGTGTTACGATGTTTGACTAAAGTTATTCTCAAACATGCCCGGAACCGCAATCAAAAACTAGAGACAATCTTTGAATAAGATTGTTGAAAAAGAGAGGTGTCGGTGTCGAGGAGGAGAGGAAAAACGTCATTGCAAACAAGTCATGCTGTCGCCGTCGAATATTAGGAAGAAGGTTGACGCGCAATGGAGTCACGCACAACTAATAATTTAGAGAAGAAACATAAGGAATGAGATGCCCCGATGGATCGGGGTGTTCATCTAGATATATTTGATCCGATCTGGTTTTTTGGATATTCAAAATTTTTGGATTAGTATTTAACTATTACATGTTTGATTCAAAAAGTATCGGATACTTGAGTTTCAGATGTCCCAAAATATTGGATTGTATGGATGGAATATTCAAAAAAAATTTATATTTATATTTCTAATTTTTTATTTTTACTACTGATTCTAAAAAAAATATATGGAACAATTTTTATTTGTTAAATAGTAGAGGTCACAAATTAGACTTGAATTTGAAATCAAATGCATTTTAAATGTCACCAAAATTAGGACACTCTTAGGTCACCAAAATTGAAGGCTCCAGTATCAAGACAATATATTTATAGGTGAGAGAATATATTCTAGCATTCTCAACATTAATGGCTAACAATATAAATTAGTTGGCCAATTTTCTCATGACATTGGCCGGCAATGTCAGGGGATGACTCGGAGACGCTCTGGTGCCCCATTCGTAAAATTAACGGTTCCTACCCCTTACCTCACCCCGACCCAAACACATCCCCACCTCCTTCAATTGCATCCCACAAGTTGATTTTGACTTTGGAGTCAAAATCAACTTGTGGGGTACAATTGAAGGAGGTGGGGGGTATGTTCGGGTCGGGGAGGGGTATGGGGATTTACCGGATGGGTTAGAGGGGTAGGAACCGTCAATTTTACGAAGAGAGCATCGGAGCACCCCCGAGCAATGTCATAGAAACCTTGGTGAAGTTGGTATTGTATAATACCATTAGAAACAATCCAAACTTTCACCCATTTTTCAAAAGTAATCCCAACTTTTCTTTGATGTATAATAAGCGGAACTTTTTCACTATTTACCCGTTTTGGGCCTCTCCCTTCACGCTAACTTTGCATTAATGAGACTTTGCTAACTTTGCCATGTAATTATTCTTAAAAAAACGTACGATACCCAGGCTCCAAATTAGACACATAACACACAACAAGTTATCCGTGAAGATACAACGGTACAAAGCCATAGCTCCAAGACGTAGAAGACAAGCCTTACTTTTACATATATGCTTTTAACCTTCTAGATAACTCGGATTCATTTAGTACACTTTTTGAGTTTTAAGTTGAAGCTCATACTCCCTCTGTCCCAAAAAGTCTTTCCTGTTTCATTTTTTGCGCATATCATAAAACACTTTTACCGACATCTAAAATGTCTAAAATTTACAACATTTCTTCTTTATTGTGGGTAGAAGTTATTTTGAATGTTTTTTTGGCATTCAAGGCGGGATAGAAGTGTTTTATGAGATGCGCAAAAAATGAAAAAGGAAAGACTTTTTGGGATGGAGGGAGTATATAATTATGGTGGGAATTTGAAGCGTGGACTCACTATAGAGTATGTCGGAGGTAATACATGTGTTCTAAAATTGAGAGAGTATGATCCTATATTGAGAAAGTCATTATGTTTTAGTCCTATTTAGGTAAATTACTCAAATCTAAATGATGTAGATCCCAATAAAATTGATTGTTTTGATGGAGATTATCCTTTTGTTTCTAAGTTGTACTATGCGAAATCTTGATGTGATTTGGACAAAGGCTTGAGTAAAATATATGGTGACAAAGAGACACTTGAAATGATGAAAATTGGAGAAGAAAATGGTAATGCTATTTATTTCTATGTTATGCACGAGAGTGAATTTATATGTGCTTCAAACCAAAATTGAAGAGCTCTTTCGATTTATGATGTTCGACTAAAATTAATTTTAAATCACTTTATATGAAAAATAATGTAGGATTAAAAAATAAAAAACACATTTTAAAATACTACAACAAAAGATTGACAAAACTAGCAGTGACATAACTATTTTATTTTATCAAATGACTAACGAAAATAGATAAAGAAAGTGAATGAAGTTTGACACCACTGTAAATAATAAACAGATAATTTAGTTTGAGACGGAAAGAGTACTAAATTTTACCTTCATAATCATTTTTTATTGAATTTAAATAAAATCCTTCAATTTCTAAAAGTAAAATAACTTTCAATCCTAATGACTAAAAACTAAATAGACTTTCAATCCTAAAAAGTAAAAGTATAATATCTAGTTTTAAAAATCTCGAAGTATATTTTGAATAATGTGAGACCTGAAGATTTTTACTAGAAAATGTAGGGTACCCAGAGTCTATTTTAGATAATGTGAGAATTGAGAATTGTTACTAGAAAATTGAGAGTATCATGTAGTAATTTTTTTTCTTCGTAAAAGGTACTTTCTTTCGTTCCATAAAAAAATTTCCTTGTTTGACTTATTTGGTAACTTGTGAAGACACTTTGACAATAACATCGCAGATTCCAGGAAGGTAGGGCACTTTGACCACTAATAAATATAAATATGAATGAAAAATGTTACATGAATTTGAGGTATCAAAAGTACATCTTAAAATAAATCTAATCATATTAAATTTAAATTATAATTAAACAAATTTTTCATAATTTATAGTCAAAGTTTTAAAAATTTGACCTAAATAGTCAAACTAGAAAGTTTATTATGGGACTTAGCAGGCCTATTAATGGGTCAAGTTCGGGCGGACTGCTCCACATTATTTGAAATATACTTCGGATTATCGTTGATTTTCTGGTAAAAACTCTAAGTGCTACATTATCTCAAATTATCAAAGGAATGAAACTTTCAAATGTAGCTTCTAAAATAGACGGAATGTAAATAGAGGATACCGTAGTAATTTTATGCATAAAATCGGATCTCGCCGTCCCCAAGCAAACACACCCCAATTCCTTCTTCGCCTTCTATGTCGATTTCTTGCATCCATGGCCAACTCCTCGAAGTCACCGGTATTTTTTCTCCCTTGAAAAAAAAAGAACTTGATTCAATCGTTGTTTGGATTTTGATTTCTGAAATGGCTGGATTGAATTGCAGTTGTGTCCTGTCAGAAGTTGAAGGACACGGAATGGATCTCCAGGCAGGACCCGTACGCGTCTCTCGAGTACGGCAGCACCAGATTCCGGACGCGCACTTGCACAGGTGATTCTCCTCTTCCATTCTTCGCCGTTTCAATCTCTCCGATCCGTAGAAACACTGATGCGAATTTCTGGAAATTTCTCTGATCTGTTGTTGCACAGATGGGGGGAAGAATCCCACGTTCCAAGAGAAATTTGTGTTCTCGCTGATTGAAGGTCTGAGGGAGATGAATGTTGTTGTCTGGAACAGCAATACGATTACATACGACGATTTCATTGGCAGTGGAAAGTAATGGTCAATGGATCCCTCATTGTTGTTTGTAATCTGTAGGCTTTGAACTGAATGAATATGTGTTCCTAATTGAGTTCCAATTGCTGTTTTAGGGTTATACTGAACAAAGTTCTCTCGGAAGGGTATGATGATAGCTCTTGGCCACTCCAAACGAAGACGGGAAGGTATACGGATTGGTACCAAACGATTTACTTGTTGTGTTCATAAAGTTCATCATATTTTGGCCATTTCATCCTTTTATTACCCATACCAAAAGGTCCCTTGAGCAATTTTGCATAAGAATTAATAGCAATTTAGTTTAGCTGCTTCAAGATTATGGTAAGAGGTATTTTCAACAACCAAAGAATATCGGTTCTCTGCTTGCTACACATGTGCTTGAAGCAAAACAAGAATAAAAATAAATCCAGTAAAATCTCAAAGAGTGAGTGTGGAGAGGGTGTGTGTGTATGTAGACTTTACTCTTACGTGGAGAGCATAGAGTCTTTTGTCGAGGGATCCTGGTTCAAAACTTAGAAGCACTATAACAAAGAGAAATAGCATGCACAATGTAAAGACCCGTACAAAACAAACCACACATAAGGCAAATCAGCACACATTTAGAAATTACAGCCCTAGGCTCAAAGATCTATCCTAACACCCTAGTCCTAGACCTCCATTAGAGTCATCATGAGGTGTAGATGTCATCGTAAGAAAAATTCCACTCCGAGTCCTTCGGCCAGGATATATTGTCCCGTGTTTTGGTTTAAGTAATTTGAACGTCCATTAGTGTAAATAATGACGACAAATTTTAGGGTTGATATTACAAGCCAATCAATACCACAGCCACAAAAAAAGTGAGTTACTAGTGAATTTCTGAGTAATTACTACTCAATTTTAACTAGTGAAACACGAATGGAGCCTGAGTTGATGTGTTCAAATTTTGTTACATGACTAAAGGGCCACAACTTTTGATGGCAGAAATCGGAATGGTAGTGCCAACTATGTAGCAATGCTAATTTAAGGTTGTCATTTGTAAATTCCAACGTTTATCGTTTTGTATTCAACTAGTACCAATATGGTGAATGTCTCTTGAAAACACTATTTGTGGTTAGGGGTAAGGTATGCATACACACACACCCTCCCCATACTCTACCATTGTGAGAATCTATTGTGTTTGTTGTTGTAACAATATGTGGTGAGAATTGATCGTTGCATTTCTATTTCCTTCAAACAGAAATGCAGGAGAAATCCGGTTGATAATGCACTATGCAAATGCCAAGGCAAGAGAACTCTTTTCTGTTGCTTAAATATTCTTTAAACCTATTGCAATGTGTGACTCATTTGGTACTTTTTGCTATGAATATGTAAATTTCAGAAGCCACCAACCAGCTATGCTTCATCTGCTCCTCCCTATATGACACCTCCTTACCCAACCACACCGCCCCCTATTGCCTCTTACCCAACACCTCCACCTTATCACCCACCCTCCCCTTATTCTTCATACGCCCCTCCTTCGGGAGCTTATGCACTGCCTCCTGAGCCATCCGCGTATCCACCACCCTATGGTGCACCCTCGGCATATCCTCCCCCAACATATCCTCCAGCACCGTATAATTTACCATATTACCCCCCAGGTGCGGATCCATCACTTCATCAATTTCTGAAGTTTGATTTGAGTGTAAGCTAATTGTGATTTCCTGCCACTTTGTTTTTAGGTCACTATCCGGGGCCTCCTGGAAGCTATCCTCCCCCGCATTACTAATGCACATGTTCAGACTTTTTCTTAGCTGTGTCCTAGCTGGGTAGTGTTTGTTACATTCATTCAACTTCTCTAGTGTTTTTTGTTACATGTGAAGAATTTTGGAGTGGTTGGTTTGAGAAATTGTTGTGGATATGTTGTAGACTTGACCATTGCTTTTAAGATATGGGTAGTAATAATAATAATTCCAGGGGCTATAATAGTGAGAACTTGGGGCATTGTTTGTTGGGAAAAGACAAAAGTAGGAGTAAAACATTGAAAATATACTAAAATAAGACTGATGTTTTTATTCTCAAAATAAGAGTTAAAATGCATTTACATTACCAAAGATGGTGATGTACATTATCAAAAAGTATATTAATGTGCACATATACAGTGTCACATTAACACAATGCAAAGTCTTATTTCGGGAATAAAAATATGAAAGTCATATTTTGGTACTTTTTTTATGTTTTAGTCTTATTTCGGGTGATTTTTATTGTTAGTTTTTGCCATGGTTTTGAAATCTTTATCTTCATCTTTGTTTCCATGGGCTTTCTCCATTGTATTGTTTTCGGTCGTGATCTGTTAGGTTCTCTAAAAATTTTAAACCGTGAAATATGCCTATCATATCAACTTTTCAAATATTATACCGAGAAATATTCATTACATTATCACACCATAGGATAGGATATCATACATTATAGACTTGTTGAGCCTGAGTTAAGACAAGACCTGTTTGGAAATATTAACGGCATTTACAATGGGGGGTTTCGGCGGCGCGGCCACAACCCGTCACGCCACACTCCCGTTGCAGCACCCCCGCCGCAAAAACTGCCCATGCGCACGCCCCCTTCAGCGGCGCTGAAAATCTGGCGTGATTTCGCGGCGTCCGCCCACTGCAGTGGTCCGCCGCGGCGCAATTCTGTTTTTTTATTTTGTCAACCTTATCCAGTTTGGCTTCTTCCTAGGCCCGATCCATTTTTTTCAATTTCTCTTTTTTAATTTTAAACACTTTTTTTGATGTATTCAATTTTGATTTTTTTAATTTCAATACTTAATACTTAATTAATATTAATCTTTTTTATTTTTTAAATTTTGAGTTTATTACTTTTATTTTATGTATTATTATTTACCCGAAGTATCTATTTTAATTATTACTCCATCCGTCCCAAATTATAATGCATGTTTACTATTTACAGGGTCAAACTTCATTCACTTTCTTTCTCTATTTTCGTTAGCAATTTGATAAAATAAAATATCATTGTCACTACTAGTTTTGTAGATCTTTTGATGTAGTTTTTTAATATATAATTTTTATTTTTTAATTCTATACCATTTGTCATATAAAATGGTTTGAAAATAATTTCAGTCAAACATCGTAAACCAAAACAGGCGTTATAAAATGGGACGGAGGTAGTAAATAAATATTTGTATTAAATTTATACTCCGTATAAGTTTTGAATTTAAAATGATGAATATTGTAAGAGAAATGTAGAGACGAGTTTCCAGGACAATAACATTGCAGGATTATGAAGCGGGACGAAAAGTTAATATAATGCTGATGTGGCAAAAGATGAGACGAGGCAAATTTGCACCCCATTGTGAATGCTCTAAAGTGTCTTGGCAAATATGGAATTTGTGAATTAGATTGCTCAATTAATTTTGTTTACATAATTTTTTGTTTAATGATTTGATCAACCGTCGTTCATCGAAACATACAAATTGAACTTAGAGAAATTTACCTAAATAGGACTAAAACATAATGACTTTTTCAATATAGGACTATATGTTTTTATTTCCCAATGTAGGACATTTGGTCATTATGAGTTAGTCATTATTCAACTAAATGTCCAGCATCACTTGGACATTATTTTTCTCACTAGTCATTATTTAGTCCTATTTAGGGAATAAAAAAGTTTAAGTCCTACATTATGAAATGACTTGTTTTAGTCCGATTTAGTGCAAATTTCACTTGAACATAATGAAAGACTAACATTTTTTGTTTACTTACCATTTACTAGGGAGTATTTTTTGTCATACACAAATGCTTCGTATCACATTGAATATTCATGAAAGAGGAGATACAAACACCATATTTTATTTTATTTTATTTTATTTTATTTTATATCAACAAAGAATATCCATTATTTACCCCCAAAGGACCAAGGTGAAAGGAGGGAAAAAAATACGTAGTACGTAAAAGAGAAAGGGAGTGGGAATATATATGTGTGTGTGAACAAGAAAAAGAAAAGCAGGGCACAAAAGCAAAAGGCATTGGCAAAATTAGAAAAAGATGGAGGGAGACGTTTCCATGCAATCCATCTCCTTATATTTCTATCTACACCTACACTTACTAGATAAAAGAAACGACAAGCTACCATTCTATCATCAAATCTCAAATGCACCTATCTTCTTTATCCTTCCTTTTTCTTTCTGCCCCTCATTTAGGCAGGGTCGATCCTGGGAACTCGATGGCCTGGATCGTGACAGAAAAAGAAGCTCAGCTCTAAAAATCTCATTTCTAATGTTTTAACGGATTTAAGTGTGATGGGTAATAACCCAAGGATACCACCCGGTTGGTTCACCGAACAGCACACGTCTTTTTCAGCCCGGGTTATTTGACCGGTTGGATGAGGAGACCAGATGCCAATACCCGGAGATTTACTTTCAAAGTGCACCTGGTGGGCCGGTCAGCCGCNGGGGGTAGGAACCTGGCTTAACGGTTGGGAACTTCCTCCCGGGAATGAAATGACATTCTCAGCGGGAGTAGAAATTTGTGAGATCACGGTTTCCTGATTACTGGCCATGACTTTTTTGTAATAGGTCCCACGGGTGGCGCCAATTTGATGGTGTAAATTACCACGCAAATATTAAGTGTGAGTAATCGGAAGGGTTGTAGGTGGAATCACCTGTAACCCGATTTGTTATTAATGATAATAGGAGTTATTACAAATACAAGCCGTGTAGGTTAATTAAAACATGCCTCACAAATGAGGCTTTTAAGGGTATTTATAATAATCCTAAGCACGTCAAGCACGTCTCTGATTATCCAACCGGTCAAGCGGCTGACCGGCCCACCAGGTGCACTTTGAAAGTAAATCTCCGGGTATTGGCATCTGGTCTCCTCATCCAACCGGTCAAATAACCCGGGCTGAAAAAGACGTGTGCTGTTCGGTGAACCAACCGGGTGGTATCCTTGGGTTATTACCCATCACACTTAAATCCGTTAAAACATTAGAAATGAGATTTTTAGAGCTGAGCTTCTTTTTCTGTCACGATCCAGGCCATCGAGTTCCCAGGATCGACCCTGCCTAAATGAGGGGCAGAAAGAAAAAGGAAGGATAAAGAAGATAGGTGCATTTGAGATTTGATGATAGAATGGTAGCTTGTCGTTTCTTTTATCTAGTAAGTGTAGGTGTAGATAGAAATATAAGGAGATGGATTGCATGGAAACGTCTCCCTCCATCTTTTTCTAATTTTGCCAATGCCTTTTGCTTTTGTGCCCTGCTTTTCTTTTTCTTGTTCACACACACATATATATTCCCACTCCCTTTCTCTTTTACGTACTACGTATTTTTTTCCCTCCTTTCACCTTGGTCCTTTGGGGGTAAATAATGGATATTCTTTGTTGATATAAAATAAAATAAAATAAAATAAAATAAAATATGGTGTTTGTATCTCCTCTTTCATGAATATTCAATGTGATACGAAGCATTTGTGTATGACAAAAAATACTCCCTAGTAAATGGTAAGTAAACAAAAAATGTTAGTCTTTCATTATGTTCAAGTGAAATTTGCACTAAATCGGACTAAAACAAGTCATTTCATAATGTAGGACTTAAACTTTTTTATTCCCTAAATAGGACTAAATAATGACTAGTGAGAAAAATAATGTCCAAGTGATGCTGGACATTTAGTTGAATAATGACTAACTCATAATGACCAAATGTCCTACATTGGGAAATAAAAACATATAGTCCTATATTGAAAAAGTCATTATGTTTTAGTCCTATTTAGGTAAATTTCTCTAAGTTCAATTTGTATGTTTCGATGAACGACGGTTGATCAAATCATTAAACAAAAAATTATGTAAACAAAATTAATTGAGCAATCTAATTCACAAATTCCATATTTGCCAAGACACTTTAGAGCATTCACAATGGGGTGCAAATTTGCCTCGTCTCATCTTTTGCCACATCAGCATTATATTAACTTTTCGTCCCGCTTCATAATCCTGCAATGTTATTGTCCTGGAAACTCGTCTCTACATTTCTCTTACAATATTCATCATTTTAAATTCAAAACTTATACGGAGTATAAATTTAATACAAATATTTATTTACTACCTCCGTCCCATTTTATAACGCCTGTTTTGGTTTACGATGTTTGACTGAAATTATTTTCAAACCATTTTATATGACAAATGGTATAGAATTAAAAAATAAAAATTATATATTAAAAAACTACATCAAAAGATCTACAAAACTAGTAGTGACAATGATATTTTATTTTATCAAATTGCTAACGAAAATAGAGAAAGAAAGTGAATGAAGTTTGACCCTGTAAATAGTAAACATGCATTATAATTTGGGACGGATGGAGTAATAATTAAAATAGATACTTCGGGTAAATAATAATACATAAAATAAAAGTAATAAACTCAAAATTTAAAAAATAAAAAAGATTAATATTAATTAAGTATTAAGTATTGAAATTAAAAAAATCAAAATTGAATACATCAAAAAAAGTGTTTAAAATTAAAAAAGAGAAATTGAAAAAAATGGATCGGGCCTAGGAAGAAGCCAAACTGGATAAGGTTGACAAAATAAAAAAACAGAATTGCGCCGCGGCGGACCACTGCAGTGGGCGGACGCCGCGAAATCACGCCAGATTTTCAGCGCCGCTGAAGGGGGCGTGCGCATGGGCAGTTTTTGCGGCGGGGGTGCTGCAACGGGAGTGTGGCGTGACGGGTTGTGGCCGCGCCGCCGAAACCCCCCATTGTAAATGCCGTTAATATTTCCAAACAGGTCTTGTCTTAACTCAGGCTCAACAAGTCTATAATGTATGATATCCTATCCTATGGTGTGATAATGTAATGAATATTTCTCGGTATAATATTTGAAAAGTTGATATGATAGGCATATTTCACGGTTTAAAATTTTTAGAGAACCTAACAGATCACGACCGAAAACAATACAATGGAGAAAGCCCA